CTCAAGGATTATAACACTAATCAAAAAAGCTAGGCAATCACAAGCAATTTCAACCTTGGAATAACACTGGAAAGGCGATTTTGGCGTTTCTAGGACCCAGATGTCTCGAAGGCCCTTTTTATTTTTTTTATTTTTTTAAGAAGTGTTCGCTCATGAGCAATATTCGAAGGAACAAACATCAGTGAAAAAGTATCACATTTTGAAGTCTCTGCCTTCTTGTTAATTTGCGCCGGGAAGTTCATCGGTAAACACATCGCGAAGTGACGGCGTGTGCTGTCGACACGGACCATTTTTCATTACTGGCGACTACGGCGACTGCGCTGCTGTCGCTTATTTGCCGCGAGCTAAAAACGAGCCTGATTTCAACGAGGTAATTAACTTTACTGCGAACACATCCCCGCAAGCGTCTTGCAAGTTGAGCGTCCTTGATAAGTACCTAAATTACGCTGTCAGAGAGAATGTCATGGCACGTTTATAGATTAAAAATCTACTTACTTGCATGGCAGGTCCCCGTTTCTTTATGCGACATGAAGAAGGCAACTGTAGAAGACAGACTGTGACGCTGCATCGAAGACAACGCGGCACTGAGTACTTTACCACTAAGCGCTCTCTATTCCTTTATTTTCATAGCACTGTGGCCAAAGTTTAAGTCAGCGATGAGGCATGCTGTTCAAGTAGAGTGAGCCACGCATGTTTCATTGTTTATTAAACTTAATTGAAGGAAACTATTCTCACTTTTTAATGTTTTATTCCTATTTTGTAGAACGTCGGCATCACTCAGGATGTTTTATAAGGCCAGACGAGTTATTAGCTAACTAACCATTTATAATAAAGCAACCTAATTCACTCATTTAAGCTTTTCGTTGAGTGTGCGTGCTTATTTGCATGGCGTGGTTAACTCACAAGAAGCATGTTGTACAGGCAGGCCACTTCTTGTGGAGGGAGGCGGCTAAGGGAAAAAAATGGTGGCCTTTTTTTGGCATGAAATTGATTATGAAAGATAATAAAACATAGGCTGCAAATTTACATCTTGGTTGCTTTAAATTATTTGTTATGAGAGAGTGTGACCATTCAGAACAATATAGCTATATTTTTTTCTGAAACACAGTTTGAGGCAACTTTTTGCTCAAGAAACACCAACACAAGAAACTCAGTAACACAGGAAAGCACTACTTCTTATCTTCTGTGATGAGATTGCGTTTTTTTTTTTTGCGCTAAAAAAGTTAAGTATAACTGCCTCTCTGGGGAGACTTGATATGTAGCTATATTGCGCAAAAGTGTGAGCCGACTTGTGGGTCAGTATTTTTCAAGAAAAAAACACATAATAACTTGTAGATTATTACATATAAACACGCTATTTACGCCATGTAGCTACAGTTCTCATGTCCAAAAATTGCAATCACATGAACCATCACACCCCAAAACTGTTTCGTTCGTCTGGAAAGCTTGCATTTCTGTTGTAAGGATTCGTAATCAAAAATTACACACAAAATAGAAATATTGGGTAGTTTTTGTGTGAAATCAGGGGCTAGCCGGTCCAGAAATCATGCTGGCCCTATACAACATTTTAAGCTAGAGTAACATTGCACAAAACAAAAAGAGATGAAATCAGGACATGAGGAGGATGCTACAGCCACAAAATGGGAAACTAGCATGAGTCACTTGCGATACAACGCAAACGCAGCTTCATAAGTAATACAGAATGACCCGCGTGCAGCATAATTTGTAGTAGTTAGACATCCACAGCAGCGCCGCGGACGCAGGCTGCTACCAATTTCTAATGGCCATCGGCGTCCACAGAGCTGCTCCTGTCGCCTGACATAAAGTTTCTTTTATATTTTGCCACATGTGCAGTCCGATGTGTGTCACCCAATGTAACGTGTGTTCATTTTCTGCTGTTAGTGTCATGGGGAATAAATGGCACATTAATTGCTGAAAGCAGTAATTGCTGTAATTGCAGTAATTGCTGAAGGCAGCACGCTGCTGACAGAAGGGGTCACATGCTGCAGTCCCCAGTCGTGCGCTGCGGGATTGTGTTCTGTTTGACAAAACTTTATTCATGAAAGTCCGAAGTTGGATGAAGTATTTTTATTGTATATATACTGCTCGAACCTGGTTCAGAATCAGCGAACGAGGCAAAAAATGGCACATTTAACAGGTATAGCCAAAACTAATCGCATTAAGCCACTTTAAAATAGCTAAATTGTTTCGCATAGCTAGGGCAGACTCCAGCGGAGCACTAGAGACGGTGCCACTCACTCGCCGAGTTGGTGAATGTCTCTACTCCAGCATGGCCTTGCGTCGGCGCTGTGCGGGCGCAGCGCTTCGACCAGGATCCCAACTTTCCTATTTCCAATTTTCCGTCACTTGCCTTCTCTATATCTCCATCTATTTTCCTTCTATTCGTTTTATCCCTCCTTCCCCCCACCCCTATAAGGCACTGCGCCGTGTCGCCCCTGAGACAGACAGAAAATAGGTGCCATTTTCCTCTTCTATACAACCACTAACCACCTCAGCCGCTACGTGGTTAAACAACCTGACGGAACGCGGCGCAAACGACGCTTATCGCAGCTTTCGTAACCAGCAAGATGTCTATGATGCGCTTCCAGTAGTAGCGGTGATTTCGCACTCGGAGTATGTAAATCTGCCTAGCAATATTCTACTCTTGTCGGGGAAACCGTATGTGCTGACCTCAAAAAATGACGTCATTCATGCTGTGATAAGCGGAGCAGTGGCAACTCTACGAACGGGAATCACTCGGCGCTTGTGCGATGTAAAATATTCCTGTGGTTTCACACTAGTACAGCTAGCAAACTGTCTTTTTTCTTTCACGTTGGCGAATTATAAAGTCGCTTACGTATGGAAGATCGTTTTTACATCCACAAGTTTGTATGCACAAGACTAATTTGAAGCGACACTGACGCTGCGTATAAGTAAAAGCACACGTATCGGATTCACTTCAGGAAATGTCTGAAGTTAGCAAGCCATACTTAGTGCGTGATGATACCATTGCAATGCTGGAGATGATTCTGCGCTACAAATACTCTATTTTTCAAAGACACTGATAATTATTTATAATACAAAATCTGTCAGTTGAAACGTTGCTGGGGATAAAATATTGCGCATGAGAGTTCTCTGTATGTTGAAATATATTCACTGCACTGAAGCTGATAAATAAAGTAAGTTCAGCCTTGTCAGGCGTGTAAACAATAACGCTGCACTTGGAGTGATAAAAATTGTGTCTGATAAGGTGCACCAAGAAGAGATGATTTTATTTCTCTCTGTTTTCCTGGTAAAACACTGTATAATGGTGTGTTGAGAGTCTTCAGAAGAGGGGGAAAACAAGAAGAATCCAATTCCAAATAAAACGTTCTTAAAACAGGAGCAATCACCAAAACAGTGACTCAAGTTTTTCATTGGGTGAAAAATATATTATTTAATTCCTGCCAAAGTATAATAACCTACGTTTAATGCAAATCTCGGACGACGGTGGTCCTACGTGCAAGATTATCTTCGTCTGACATATTAGTTTCGCTTGAGTGACCCGCAAGGCGCAGATATACTATCTTTTCGAACTAAGCCGGCTTTCAGCGCAAATATATCAGACAGTGAGCAATTTTCGTGAACAACGCGGAATATCTTAAGGCGGATTGCTTTTGTCCCACGCATTGCACTCTGCCTACCTGTTAGAAAGCCTAATGAAATCTGACGTGGTCTCTCAACGCACAGCAACAACAAAAAAAGAAACCTGGGTACGCACTTGATACTTCTCAGTAGACTGTGCATGGTCGCTGCTTGCGAAAATTGTAAGAGACCTTACTGTAATCCCATGAACGGGGAGCTCACAAGAAGGGGAACGAATAAAGTGAAGCGGGTGGAGGACGCATGTGGCTAGGGTCGATGAAATCTACTTCACTCGGCCAAGACTACAAGAACACGATGCCACTCTATCGCGCATTGCTTTTATTTTGATGTGCCTCGGTCCTCTGCGTACGATACAAATTGGAGAATGGGAAACTAGATACTTGCCAAAAGGTACATTGGGCATGATAAAAACAATGTCTTGGATTATTTCGCTCGCCGCGCAAGTGATTCGCTGCTCAAATTCACAATGTAGGCAGTCCTGGGCTTTCGCCAAAATGTCGCGGCAGCTGAGTACAGAAACATAGGGTGGAAAAATCTCGAGTGTTCTAATAGAGAAACAGGGGGACGTTATCAATTGCCTATCACTAATTACAGCTTCACTGTGTAGAACAAGGAACTTTTTTATTGGTTCCTCCAGTTCGTACTCGTTAGACAAGAAACTTTTGATTAGAGTCATGATTTTTCGCCAGTGAGCCAAAAAAACGCGTTGTTTCATAGTAGAAAAAATTTAACAGTAAAAAACAAGAGGCGAAGACGAAAAAGCTGAGCATTTCTTTTGGACTAAGCAATTCAGCAAGCGAAAGCTAGCCTTTGTGGGCAAAAGCATATCTTAGCGTACTTCCCTTCCACCTCATAGCAGCAATTTGTGAACGAGGAGTTAATGATGACCAGGGGTTTCCTAGCCTATACTGTTTTTGCTGATAGTGTTCTGATAGATAATATGTAACGCTGTATAGTGGTGCCAAAATAATTGCTGATTTTAGCTAGAGCTTGCTTAATTGAAATTGTCGGCTAATCTTCCGTTGTTAGAAAAGCAGTACTATATATATATATACATTATATACATATACATATATATACATATATATATATATATATATTTTACTTTCTCAAATGCCACTCTTACATAAATATATATATATATATATATATATATATATATATATATATATATATATATATATATATATATATATATATATATATATATATATATATACACACACACCTACCTTAGTTCGGCCAGAATCATTGCTGCTATCAGAGTAGTTCAATATAGTGTGCTTCTATCTGTTACATTCATTCACATCCATACACAGGCCTGTCGATGCCGTCTCTTTTCTAACTGTACACAGAAACTCACACGGGTGTGCCACCGCGGATAATTCACTCTCGCCAGAAGATCACGGCATCAGTGGGAGACGCCGTGTCGCTTCCATGTGTGGCCCACGGATCACCGCCACCACAGTACCGCTGGTATCGCGAGGACGGCGGCCTCGTCTTCCTCGACCAGCGGACCTCGCTCATCGACGGCGTCCTTTTCGTGAGAAAGGCGGCGGTCGGTGACGCCGGGAAGTACACTTGCGTGGCCAACAATAGCGCAGGAGAGGACCGTACCACCACCGAGCTTGTCGTTACGGGTACGTTGGTGGTGCTGTTACTGATGTGGATGCTCTCATGTGTGTGCTCTCACGTACTCCCAAGTACCCCAGTTTGTGTTCCCTCTCTTCTTTATCTTTACTCACCACGTCTACGTGATTCCGTTTTAATTATTTTAATGTTCCGTGCTACGATGTGCTCAAAAACTGACAGGACTCCTCATGCGCTTATCTCATATCACTTAAAGGCGTAGGTCATCTCCTTTTTTTATCTCAAAGAACACTTCCATTCTCCCACACGATAATCAGAAAACTTTCTGCAGCTAACGGGGTTCGGAACAGTCTCCAAAATCAAAAGCACTCCATGCTTTTTCGCCTCTCACGTGGTTTTATAGCAACAGCTCTTATGAGATCACAATTGCCGCCTCAGACTACATCTGTAATCGCTATCGCGCAGGAAAAAAGCGTAATAAAAAATAAGTAGTTTTGAATGGGTATCCAACCTGGGCCTTCTTCGTGGCGTCTAATTTATACCACAGGGCCGTGCCAGAGCCCGAAATTACATCGCTAAAAATGTATAGAGGCGCTATGTTTGGAAGAAACCTTGGTTTCATGCGTAATATAGCGTGGTAAAAGAGTAAAATCACAACAAGACGTCACACGATGCGAATAGTGTAACCAGGCGTACCCCGATAATACAAAGGGCTCAGCCATATTTATTTGCTGTCACTAGCTACCGCATGAATTGATGACGTAGTCGGTTAATATGCAAGCCCACATGTATTAGTTCGAGCTCTATAGAAATTCCACTGTTCCAGCTTTTGCTGTGACTGAGCTCAGGCCTGGCGTTTTTGTCACTGCCAGTGTGATCACTACCTCCCCCTGTACCAAGCGACGTCGTAATGTGATGACGTGATCATATGACGTCGCCTTAGTAATGTTATGGTGACGTCACTAGTTTTGGCGCATGTGATATGTGGTGAGGTCATCGCATAAAGATTTTCTACATCACTCGTGTCGACGCAGAGGACCAATTTTCACGTTATAGGAATTGCACAAAGCCTTACTATTCGTAGCCTGCTTTTGGCGCCAAGAGCACGTTTAATGTAGGCTGTATTGTTTACTCGAACAAAGGTCAACCTTTCAGGCTTAACTTCTACGCATATATCGTAGACGCAACGCGTTTACGCAGAGCCCCTGGGTGCACACATCCAGCCGGCGCGGCAGCAGGTGCGCGTCGGCCAGCCGATCACCATCCGGTGCTCGGTGTCGGGACACCCCGTGGCGGGCATAACGTGGCGCTTCAACCAGCGAACTCTGGCGCTAAGCGAGAGGGTCGCGCTGCTCTCGGCAGACGCCCTTGACATTCGCTCGGTGCACAAGGAGGACAAGGGCATGTACCAGTGCTTCGTCCACAACGACGTGGACTCTGTACAAGCAAGCTTCGAACTGGCGCTTGCAGGTGAGCCACGAGCGTCGATAGGTGATGAACAATAATCACAGATAAGGGGAGATTCTCTGACACTTAAGACTCCATCTTTTCTATGCCAGTTATTGAAACATCTGTTTTCTGTCGTTGGCCGTGGCATAGTAATTGTGAAAGCTACACCACCCTCAAATTCTACAGCGAATAGTTTTTATCTGCTTCATTCTGAAGAGGGCTCGCTTTCTAACATTTTAAGTGCAGTGAACGAAAGAGAGTTGTGTATATCAGGCAACCGAGCAAAATATATAAATAAGAAATAAATTATTACAAAAACAAATAATAAACAATAAATATTTAAATAATAAATAAATAACTAAATTAATAAAGGCTTCTTAAATTGTAGTGCGTGGACTGTTTATGGGCTTACTATATTGGGTAGATTTCAGATTGTCCGTGCAAAAACTTGAGACGGTGTGCATATGTCTATGGCCAGTCAACGACTGTCGCTCAGTTTAATTCAGTTTTCTTTTTACCAGAAGATATTCCCGCTGCACGCCTGAAATGATTGCTGCAAAGAAACTTATTGACGAACCAGCATGATTTTCACGGGTAGAGCCTTTTAGGCTACTTCGTTGGTAATGTACAGTCATGCCATAGGCTCAAAACACGCGGTTAAAAAAAAACACGCTTTCTGTCGTCTTCCTTGATCCCCGTGTTTTTAGCGCTATGGCTTCGATTTTCGAAACGCATTAGTACCCACTATATCCTTCCTCCTGATCCTTTCAACAAGTTTGACTGAGTGATAAATTGTGCCTTTACAGAGGACCTGCCCCAGTTCCAGGAGACATTCGGCGGCGAGACGGTACAGGCGGGCACGCGACTATCGCTCAAGTGTTCGGCATCCGGGAACCCGCTGCCGCAGATCACGTGGTCTCTGGATGACGCGCCCGTGCCGGAAACTCATCGCGTGCGCTTCGGCGACTACGTCACGCAGTACGGCGTCGTGGTCAGCTACCTCAACTTCTCGCTTGTCCAAGTCGAGGACGGCGGCGAGTACCGATGCACCGCGAACAACGGCGTCGGAACGCTGCACCACGCCGCCAGGATCAATGTGCCAGGTGCGCTGTCCAGCTGTGTCAGCGTGCCTGTTGAACGCGCCACAAAACATTCGTCGGCGACTTACGTTTTCGGCGTAAGAGAGAAAAGAAAGCCAGATAATTATGTGCTTTGTGCCAGCAGCTCCAGTCGGATGGAATTTTGGTGGTTCGGTGGCACCTCTGGCTCAGCTCACTGTTCGAACATGTAACTCGGTATGCGAAATGTGCCATCTTTCTTGCTTTTTTGACCTTGCGATGCTAATGGGGGTTTAGCTGGTAATCTTTAAAAATCTGATTGAAGCCTGCTATAGTGCTTGCGGAAAAATGTCGCGTGGTGATGTTTCAGCGCATTGTAATGCAGAAAGCTAACAAGAAAGATTTGAGCTCGTGTTAGTGGAGCAATGGGAGACGTCCGGAACACGTCTGTGCGATGTTATGCCACATCGCATCAACAAGAGGGAGCTTATAAAAACACGCATTATCACTGTATATAAACACAGTCCATGCTTCAAGCTATGGAAAAGACAACGTAACTTACAATAAACGCAGCTTAGACAAACTCTCCTGCGATTTTAGAAGTCCTCTGCTCATCCACAATCATGTTGGGGCAGCAAAACAGCTTATTTGGTTTTTAACTTTGTCTTCTTGAGTCTGTCTTTGGAAGGCTTCATCCGAATCGCAATACTCAAGATTACCTCCTGTCTTTTTTTTTTTTTTTGGCTGTTCGGTCACGTAACATGGAAGTTTAACTCATCACAAAACTTTTTCGCAGGACGACCTGTTGTCCGGCCCATGCGAAACCTGACAGTCGTCGCCAGTGAAACACTGAACATAGTATGTCCAGTGGCCGGATACCCTCTCGAGTCCATCAACTGGGAGCGAGGTAGGATACATATTTGGCTGCTGGATGTCAACGCACTTCGCATTACATTATTTTGATGCATTCTCGCACGTAAACTTAAACTGACCTTCAGCGATGGGCACACGAAAACAGTGCGCTCGAGACAGGCAGCTATATCTCGTCCCACTCAGCCTTCGAAACTCGCCGCATAATGCTTGCAACATGGGGAACTCCGCCCTCTCATACGATACGCGACGTGAACCTCTTATTCAACAGCGCAGAGGGTAGTAGCAGACCACCACGACACCACGACAACGGTGAATTTTCACAATGAAAATAACGAAGCTTGCGTGATGCTGCAACTGCGGCAGCAATACAGGCCTCTGGAGTATTTGAGAAGTTCGTTTCACCCGCAGCTAACCAGCCCTTGCGCTGTTACTACTTTTTTATGTACGATGAATGAAGGTAGTTGACGTCGAAGCGCTAGAATGAATAGTGGCAAACTTCATCTCGACACAAGTAGCTTAATTTGTTTGATTTTTAAGAATTACGTTGAAATTCATTCCACCGGCCATCTACACCCCTTATGACGTCATGATGGGGAAGGCGGTAACGAGGCAGCGGGACATTGTGACATTTAGGCATGCATTATCACTCGCTCCGGTTTCTTGTTATGCTGCTAAACAGGCAACGGGCGACAGCCTCACAGAGACGTGAGTGAGCTGGAGCGAGGGAGAAAAAATCACGGTGTTGTGCGGCGACCAACGTTTGCATTTTTAACGTGAAACGCCAACACATCCTCGGAAAGAATACTGGAATAGGTTCATTGAAACATACCACAAGGTATTAATTATAGAAGTATTTGATGGTTTCCAGTATGTTTCCTGTCCTAAACATTTCGTATTGAAGAGTCTCATCGTTTTATGGAAAAAGTGGTCAAGGTGGATAAAGTGGACATTTTCACCTATACCGGCTATGCGCAGTGGGTGTCCGGCTGCCCTACAATCACCGGCAGAAAGTTCACGACAACGGCTCTCTCGAAGTGTACCACATGGAGAGGGCCACCGACGAAGGACCGTACACCTGCGTGGCCAAGGACAAAGACGGCCACACCGCACAAAGCACTGTGTACATCAGCGTGAAAGGTAAGCTTCACGCCGTCCGAAAGACTTCCCGTCTCATTAATGGCTCGTTTCTTGTTATTGTGACTCTCGGCTGGATTTTGCCGCCAGCGTCAGCGTCGACGTGGGCGTCGCCGTCACTCACCGTATATGTATACGTATCTATATATTACAAAACGCAACAAACAAAAAATCCTGAAAGACTCCGGCACGCGGAATCGAACGTAGAACTTCTGAATCCTGAATGTAAGGCGTTAACCACTGAGCCCAAGCAAAGCACGTCCTTCAACGTTCGAACGGCAAACGGCAAGCTATTACTATCTTCAACTTACCGCTGGCGATGGGCACCTCGGGGGGGGGGGGGGATTATATTTTTTTCAGCATTACCAGCAAGATGGCGCTACGGACGCACGCAGGCGCATGCTCATATCTCCCACGCCTACTTTGCCCCTCAGAGAGGAGGAGGTGGACGCTCGCTCGCGCGCCCTTATCTCGTGGTGGGGAGGATCGTACATCTCGGCTGGCCTGTGGCTTTCACCGGAACAATTGTGTTGTAGTTACCAGGCTCACAAAGGTCACTGCAATCGTTGCCCAGTCTCCGTTTGCGAAAATAGTGTGCTTTTCAGACACAGCGAAGTAACAACTGAGACGGTTATTCGCGTTTATCTGCACCTGCGAGTACGTTTCGTGTGTTATTTGTGCGTGAGAAACGTGAGGCACATATTGATCTGCTTGTCATTATGCGCGTGACCTTCTCATTTGTTGCTATCACGTTCATTGCTTCTCCTTTGCGGCAAAGTTGTTACTTTTTATAGAGTTTATTGCTTTTTACGGAACAGAAGGCAACAGCAAGAAATGCATGAAAAGAAACGCAGGGACGTTAACCTGGTAAAGTATCCGGTTTGCTACCCTTCACAGTGGTGGGAACATGTTCTGCCATGACTGCATTAAATGACCTCGAGAATACAAGTCACAAAGCTTCTGTATTTGTCTATTCTTTGCAGAAAGCGTATGTAGCCAAATTACAAACGGTATTATGCCTTCGACAATTTACAAGGAAACCTCGCATAAAATATTGTCCTTCAAATGACTGAGGCTTATTAGGTATTGTCAAAGCCTTTCTAATACTTAATAATTGCTGCGGTTTAGTGACCCAAAACCACGGTATGATTATTTCAAGAACTCTTGTAATTTCGATTACCTGGTGTTCGTTAACGTGCACCTAGATCTAAGTACACTGGCCTCGAGCATTTTCGCCTCCCTCAAATATGTAGCCGCCGCGGCCAGTATTTGATCGCGCGACCTGCGGGTCAGCAGTCGAGCCCAATAACCACTATACTACCGTGGCGGGGCTGTCAAAGTATTTTTGCATCGATTTTTTCTTTGTGCAGGGTGTCATGCCGGTATTATCTAAATGTTCAACACCCTGCTCCTTCATATTTCTTTTCTTTCTTTTCTTTCCTAGAGGAAAACTGGTCAAACAGCACATCCGTTTCAACTAACTCTTGCACTTATGAGTTTTTTAGCAGGCTAAGTACAGCACCTTTTTTCACGTCCACCAGCAAATGTGTGGCACTCATTGTGACTTGTGAAGTCACGCCTGAATAAGGGCTTTAAGCGCGGCAACACTTTAGCCTTGCAGTGCGCCAGGTAGTGCGAACCAGAATTATCATATCACCATGAACAGGCACGCGCTCGCATCTCCCTCTTCAACTCCTGCTTCTGCCCCACAGCACATGTATTGTATTTGACGAAGTGAAATACGGTATCTTCAAAGGGCAAGTCTGTTACGTGTATAGAAGTAACATAATATCACGTAACAACTAGAGTCATGGGATTCAAATCATCTAATACCATGCAACAACTGGTCACGAGACCAAAAGTAACCTAAAATCACGTAAAAGCTAGTAACAAGGTCAGAATCAAGTAGCATGACGAAGCTAGAGACAAGAATAAAAATCCCATAAAAATGAAAAATAACATAGCATCAATCAACAACACTCACGTGACTGAAATAGGGTAACGTCATGTAACATCTATTCACTTGATTAAAATCACGCAGCATTGTGTGACAATTAGTCATGAGAATAAAACCAATGTAACATTGCGTAGCAACCAGTCAATTTACTAAAACGCACGCAACATGATGTTAATCGTGACGTGATTAAAATAACGCTACATCACTCAACATCTAGTCACGTGGCATGTTCCAACCATAAATAACGTATCATTTTGTCACGTGAAATCTTGTAATATCACTTATTAAATAGTCACGTCGCATGCTGCGTCAAAAATATTCAAGAAATAGTCATGGGACATATTCCGGGCAAGACCACGTAATAGCTAGTCATGTAACGAGAACCACGTGACATCTGCCCACAAAAATACGTAAAAGCTAGCCACCTGACACATTGCTGCGAAACATCACGTGACTAATCACTTAACACTATTCGCATGACTTAAAATCATGTAGTCACTAGTCACGAGACTCAAATCGTCGAAGTAACCAAACTTATCACGTGACTAAACCAACGTTGTATCACAAAGCGACTAGTCAGATGAATAAAACCACCCTGCCTGTGCGGAACGCACAGCAGGGTCACAGCGAAAGCTTGATTTGATTGATATGTGAGGATTTAACGTCCCAAAACCATCATATGATTATGAGAGACGCCGTAGTCGGAGGGCTCCGGAAATTTCGACCACCTGGGTTCTTCAACGTGCACCCAAATCTGAGCACACGGGCCTACAACACTTGCCGCCTCCATCACAGCGAAAGCTAGAAGAGCGGCCTTTCAGAGCCTTTTTAAACACTTTTGGGTAACTGCTACACACCTGCATGGCACCCACTACGCCACCAATCATCATAATTTTCGTGTAGTAGGAAGGTATCCACTATGGCACCCTTCGTCATTCTTCGGAGAAACGTGGTACCCGCTACAGACTTGCGAGAGAGTTTGCGCAATTTTTTTGATGCGACGGCTGACGACGATAAAAAATTTATGTCGGAGGCTTTTGTATTCGTGTAACAGCATTCGACGACCCTCTCGTAATGCAGTTCACATTGTGTGACGTCTGTTTTTATCTTTGCTGTTCTAAAACGCCTTATTACACAAATTTACGCAATTCTTTTTCCGACATCAAGCTTGCCTAAGAGCAGTCTACATCGCTGTTTCAAGCACCAGCATACCCTCAAAATAGAATACTGGGCTGGCAAGCGGGAGACCCAGATTCAAATCCCATTGTGTCCTTGGTGTTTTTTTTACTTACATAGTTTTTTTTCCTTATTTTGCGCGATATTGGTTACGGACACTAGCTGAGGTGGCGGCTCACAACTGGGGTGCACGTTACCCTTGTTGTGGTCTCATAACAGCTCTCGCTGTGATAAAACTACGTCACATGGCGTAACTCCTCCCGTGACATGGTCCAGTCAGAACTATGCAAAGGGTTGTCGCGTTATACGGTTTCGATATAACCACGTGACAGGTCTGTAGTGTGAGGGCCGATCAAACTGGAGAATAGTCAAGCACAGCCATACTGATTACTTCTAGCAAAAGCTCAGTAACCTCAGCAAAAGCTCGGCACTACCGGCAACACATCACTAGGTCGAACACATGCTCTGTGGTTTGTCCCAGAGGCTTGCGCCACCTGTGAAAACTGCAAACATTTTTAAGAATAGTTTTCTAATGTCCGTTTTTGTCCGCAGTATAAAACTCCACAATGTTGCGAAATGCGGCACCTGTTATGACTTGACACGCTGACACCATCTAAAGTGATCACGATTAATTAGAAAACCTGGATATTCGAACAGAACAGTCTGGTTGGCCTAACGCCGACGATCGCGTATGAGTCGCCTAAAGTACTTTGCTGGGTGTTAGAGCACAGGAAGCGTGAGCGCATAGCTTTGTGTTGGCACGTCGGAATGCCATGCCACACGAAGAAACGACGTGCTGAGGCACGCGCTACGTGAGAGGAAACTGCAGCGCGCGCAGAACACGGCGACATCATTACAGCACTCAGAGCAGGACCAGCTACAAACAATGAGCACGCAGAAAGGGGTGCGTAATTGTCACGAGCGCACGACACCCTGAACATTGCAGTCACACGTCATGCTATAGCTGGCACTGAGCTTTGCGCTAACAAATGTGCATGGCGGCGGAGGGATTTCTCGACGCATTATTTTGGATACAGAGACATGGCGAGATTTCTGACTAAAAAGGAACATGGCAAGGAACATGACAAGATTAGAAGCTTGCACTATGGTCTGGAATTTCGGATCGCAGCGCAATGCCGGATCGCTTAAGCTGCGCGAGATTGATGTGAAAGAATTATAAAACACGTGTGTGCGCGCAATCAATCAGCAATTAGACTGCGTAAACAAGCCGGCACATAGCTTGATTGATTATTGATTCAGTTATCGATTATTGATTAATATATTGTTGATTTATCGATTATTGATCATTGAACTATTGATCAATTTATCGATTTATTGAGTGAGTGAGTGAGTGAGTGAGTTGCAGCTTCTATGAAACCACACAATTTTAATGTCATAATTCTCAATACGTTCTCCTCATCAGCCTTCTTTTATTATTCTCTTCCCTGAAGTCTCTCTTCCTCCACCAGTTTATTCCTTCTTTACTTAAGCCTTTCTTTCTTCCTTATTATTTTTTTTCTTGTGCCTTCCCTATTCTCTTCGTAGACTTCACTCATTCGTCTTTTTCATTTTTTTGTGTCTTCTGTTACTATACTTTTGTCGTTCCTTCACTTTCCTTTCGTGTCCCATATTTTCTTGCTTGTGGGATTGTGCCTTACTCATAATCTCCGAACACGTGCTACAACGCAGTGAGACCAGCAATAGAGCCCTTCAGCTACCCGGCGTCCCTCCGCGAGGGCCAGCGGGCATCCGTGATGTGCGCCGTGATCAGCGGCGACCTGCCCATCAACATCAGCTGGACCAAAGACGGCGAACCCATTAGCGAGTCGAATCCTGACACGGCCGGCATCCTCGTCAACACCGTGTCCGGATTCACGTCCACGCTACTCTTCAAGGCGCTGCGGCTCGAATATCGCGGCAACTACACCTGCGTCGCCCAGAACGACGCCGGCAGCGCCAGCCACTCGGCGGTTATGGTCATACACGGTGCGTACACTTCACTCACAAAAGATCATTGCAATTCAACAAAGCGAACTTGTGGACTCGGTGGTTGAACGCTATAGTTTAGAGGACAGCGCGAATAAGCGATGGCTGTAGAAAGCGAACACAACAAATCTTTGCGCTGATTAGATACTTAACTGAATGTTATTGGCACAAAGTATGCAAAGGTGTTATGTCTCCTTCAACTTTCAAATTAATTTGCATTACGCTTTTGCTGGTCTAACCTTCCGAGTCATTCATGGTTGCATGTGCGTTGTCATGCCTCAGTCATGATTTACCAACTAGCCCACCAGGACGTCTTTATTATGTTCCAACGCTCGTTTCTCTAAAATTCCGGTGTCGTCGTCGTTGGTTGGGAGTGAAAAGTCGGCGTTCTCCGCTAGGGGAAAAGTGACGACGAATGCAAATAACGAAAATAAGTGGTGTGGGTGGGAATATAACCTCGGTATTCTGCATTGAAAGCAAAACAGATGTTCTACCACAAAGGCACAAGACAGCTTGGAATGTCTTCAAAAAATGAAAATGATCTACAGGTGTTATATTACAGTGTGAGGAGCCACGCAAGGACATCTAATATAACTTGCAGAAGCGTATAGTCACACCTGGCGTCACATCACGTGAGTTCTGCATTGAATTGGTTAAGCCCACTCAGTATAAATCAATTTGGCAGTAATTCATCAATATCACCAGCAACAGCATCGACAGAGCGTACAGGTGCGAAGGTGCACGCATGGACGCGTTGTAGACACTTGCCTGATTCGCTGAATAGCGAAATACGACGTAGTAGGCACTTCGCAACTTTACTTGATGTGGGAATTCTAAGGTAGTTCAAAATAGGCTATGTTACGCGCACAGGCTTTACTTTCCAATGGTGCGGGTGAGATGCCTATACCACGAAACGAAAGCTGACTAGAGATTGAGAATGCGATACGAACCAAGCCAAATACGCTAACGCTCTCTACTCTTGAATGTGGATCTCAAACGTCCTCGAAGTTGCTATTCTTTCTCGCATCATCTCGATTAGCAAGCCGTCTGCGTGCCCAGACGCTGGTTTTGTTCTTCTACCAACTTGACCTCTCTGTCTTTTCTTTTGATGTATTTCTCTCTCTCTCTCTTTTCTCACCGTGTGCGTCACTGCATACGTTAACGATGAGAGTGTATGAATTTATTGTTTTCTAAAGACATGTGATGTGGATATTTTTATCACTTCTGACACACTTAATAATGCTCGAAATTAGAAGACATCGATTGCTCGTCGGCTGCATTGCGATTGACACGACAGTGATGAACCTAACAGCCGCTGCTTACCTTTTGTATCACTTTGCATAGAGCAATGTGCTCCTTCACATTTCTTGCTTGTGTTTCTTTGACAGCATATGCAGAACTTCACACGTATTAGAGCGCTTTGTTTGTTAACGAATCTCGCTTGAATGATAGCAGTAGGTGAGAGCTTTCAGAGAAAAGATTATTATGCGACAATAACTGAGGGAAGATAGAGCAGTGACTGTTTCTCAGGCAAGGACACAAAAGCCACACCACTCGTAATAAAGGGGCAAAAAGATAAATAGGGAAGCTGCTGCAAACAGCAAAAGAAAATAAAAAGAGGAAGAGAGACAGAAGGAAGCCGTAAGGGGATAACCACCAACGCTACCGCCACTTCTCTTCTTCTCTCAAACCTCGTACTACTTTGACACACCACTGTACTATACTGTCTGCACTGTACTGTAGTGTACTGTATGGCACACATATCAGGAAATGTTGTAGAAAATTTACAACAGAAGCACGCCTTTATTCTTTTTCTTGTATATTTTAATCGGATTTACTGAGGGTGCGGTATCAAACACTAAGCGCATTTTATTGACTTTTACAACCCTCCTTGCATTTCTCCCTGTTGTTCTCCTTCATACTGGTCCATGGCCATATAGCTGAGCTGACTGCTTTTACAGGGTACAATAACAAAAAACATTTTATGCGCACGTATAGTGGCTCGTGTTATCTCAATTACCCACAAAGCACAATGTGTACTGATTTAGATAGAATACATTATTATACGTGTGGCTTTCTTGTTTCTTTTACTCTAGTCCCTCCACAGTGGATTATTGAGCCCGCAGGAAACATCCGTCATCAAAGGCAAGACTGTAGTCATCGACTGTGAAGCGGACGGGTTCCCCAAGCCAAGGATCCGATGGACGAAGGCCGAAGGTTTGCAACGCTTTCTTTGTTAATTATTCGTTCGTACTTTATAACAGTTAACAAAGGATACCAAGCTACGGATTAAAAATAAAGTCCATAAAGTTGTGATTAGTCCAAATAAAGTCCATAAAGTTGTCTTGGAGGTACCATCGCTTTTAATTTGGGTCATTGCTTCTGCCCCCGCTAGGTTCAAATTTTTTACTTCCCTTTTGTTTTGTCTTAGGAAAAAGAGCTAATTAGATGCAGTGAAAAACGAAAAGCAAATGGAGTTGGTGTTGTCTGTGTCTCCTTGTGCTTTTCTGAGATATTTCAAAAGCCAACTAGTTGTATTAACTACGTTCTTAAATAAATAATTTCAATATTCGCTCCAAGACATTCAATATGTTATCTGCACCATATGTCTCTTAAGATGATACTTACATTGTTCAAGTAAAACTCGCCGCTAACTTTGAATTGAAATTGGCCGAATTCGCTTTGATAAATCATCTCAGTTCACCACACAGAGAACCGTTTTTCCCACACACAGTCCATTTTCGCCAATAGATTGTCAATACGTCATGTTAAGTGTCACGCTCAGTTAAAAAATGTGCCCTCCGATTATAGTAGCTCCTTAACAAGATGTTATGTCACCCGTAACTTAATCGAATAAAGTGTTTGTAACACGGCATGCTGACCAGGAGCTCTCGTGACGATCATAGAATGTGATTCTCAAAAAATACGAATGCATCACATGCAGCAACATGGGCTGGAGCTTAAGCTTTGTTTAAAAGGGCTACGAGGTTGTAATGACGCGTAAGAAAGAGCACACAAAGACATACAGCGTGTTTGACGAGAGAGTGAAAGTTTGAAAAAGCCGCAGCGCTATATGAAATGGCCCCTCTCCCCTTCCCCAGTGCAGGGTAGCCTACCGGGGCTCAGCCCTGGTTAACCTCCCTGCTTTTCTCCTTGTGTTCTCTCTCTTTCTCTTTTTTGTTTTGTAACTGTGATTCTCTAGCACTAGAGTGCTTCAGTATGCAGCCATTATTAGGGCCTTTTCGCATCGCGTGTGTTTTAGCTTGTGTCCACACAGAAGCCTCATGCATGCATGGTCCACGCTAAACGCAGGTGAAGCGGCGCGCGACTTCAAGCCGGTGATGAGCAGTGCGCACGTTCAGGTATTCGAGAATGGCTCGCTGGCCATCAACGACGCCAAGGAGGAGGACGCCGGCTTCTTCCTCTGTCAGGCGACCAACGGCGTCGGGCAAGGACTCAGCAAGGTCGTCAAGGTCACCGTACACAGTACGTTTCTATCTATACGCACTTGGCATTATCTGTCACGGACAGACGCGACAAACTTGAACACTCGAGCTTCGCCTTCAAGAGTAGAACGCGATAGCATAATCTAATCGTGTTCGTATCGCCTTCCCAAGGCACTAGTCTTACTTCGCTTCTTAGTTGACACCTAAACCGTGCCGCAAGGAAACCAAAACTGCTGATGCATTCCGTCTTCTATAACTATGCATGTGGCGGGACGAAAAAAGGCAGAGCCATGTTTTTTTAAAAGCACACCCGTGGGACCCTTGCACACTCTTGCGTGTGCTTAAATACCGCCGAAGTACCACCATGGTTATACGGTGTCAATGAAAGGGTTGCCGTTAGTACGCTAGCCGATGTATGTGTGGTGGCCAACCGGCTCTAAAATCATGCCCGACGAAAATGTCACGGGTTCGAATTCGCGGTTTTACTAAAACGGATATTTATATTATGTTTTATTTTCATGAACCTCAAATTTTCGCGTGTGTAGTGAGTCATTCGCTGATTTGAAAAAAAAAAATGGAAATATCATGGCGTGATAGGCACTCCGTCACTGTACTTGCAGTAGGCTTTTTAGGATTGTTTGAAGCAGCTAATGTTACGCGCACAGACGTTCGTTATCTTGTGGCATGGTTTAGGCATGGTTTAGGCATGCTCCCAGAACCGAAGCCAAGCTAGGAATCTATGGTGCGTACGGGGTCCGATTACGCTATCGCGTTCTACTCTTGAGAGTGAAGTTTAAGCAAACCTCCAAGTTTTCGTACACGACAGCTAGCTCAAAACTAGACCTGTCAGGAGAATACATAGTTTACTCCTTGGGACTGTTTACTGAATAAATTTCGCATGCACCCGAATATTTGATGTCAGAGTTTGATAGTGAGGGCCACGAAAATTTACTTAACGCAACTTACGTGTCATCTGCCACAACAAGCACAGTGTTCGTGTACAGTGAAGAAAAGCAGACTTGCTCCCACCTTCTACTTGACCTGCACCCCGTTATTGCTGTGTGTGCCTTTGGGGAGTCTTTTGTCCCGCAGGTATAATCTTCGTTGGGCTTCTTCGCGTTTCCTTTCCTATACCCTCGGGCTCTCCCCTTTGCTATCAGGAAGGCTATGTCACGCACGCCGTTTATAAGCCGGAAGTACAGGGCGGCGATAAAGCAACGAAATGCACACAAGATGCATGGCGATTCTTGTTTGACTGAGAAATGCCTCAAATATGTTCTTTCTTGAGAGAGTGTCCTGATGAGAGTATTAGCCACGCTGAGTGCCCTTTATACACCCATAAGAGAGTTGGAAATTAAAATATGCCTCGCGGTGGAAAGTCCCCGTGAAAAGGTCATTCAATCCATCCGTGCTAGTAATGCCACCGCGTTTGCGTCTTCTGGTGATATACTTGACGGCATCGAAGTGATGCTGATAAGCTATGGTGGAATCTCGGTGATACCAGCCGCCTGCGTACTACTTGTTTTTCGACTTTTTTTTATTTTCGGCGATGTTAACTCACAAATTGTGCATTTTAGCGCGTTCGATACGACCACATATTTCCTCAAATATAGAAAATACGACCGCGAAAGTGCATCTTGACCAGCACAGGTATAAATCCTGCGTTCATTATTCGGGATACAAGCCCGAACCGGGCTCCAACAAGGCACAATCTGAACGTTGCAGAGCCATAGAGCAAGCAGTAGTGTCAATTTAGAGGTGAAAACATTGCTGCTAGGATTGTTCGCTGCATGCGCCCAATTATCATTATGATGGGCCGAGGAAGAAATTTAGAAGAATTCGGATCAATATTTGTCAAAATATTTTACTCATAGACATTGAAAAGAAGAACTTTTAGCTCAAATTGACCAGCTGCTTCAATGTAGCTGAATAAAAGTGAGTTGCGCATGAATCACGCTTGTTTTCCTCCTTTTTAACCTGCTTTGCCAATAAAATTCTTGCATAATACGCTTTATTTTTGTTCCCGTAGAAAGCGTATAAGCGCAATTTCACAGCATTAGAACAGAGAAAATATACGTTTTTACGTTCAATTATTTATGTTCTTTTCTGCGCCGTTGCAGTTGCTGCCCATTTCAAGACAAAGTTTGCAGCTGAAATGGTGCGCAAAGGACAGACAACGAGACTCAAGTGTGACGCCATTGGCGACAAACCGATGGGAGTATCCTGGATGAAGGACAAGCAACCAGTCAGTCCAAAGCAGGACCCGAGGTAATGAATAAGTATATTTACAGAATTCAAGAATCACCTATTTGAAAATGAAACTAGATAGCAAAATTTACAAAAGGAAATGATGGATTAGTTTTTCGCAGGAAGATATGCAGTGAGCCGGAACATACGCGTAAACGAAATATTGGAGACGTTAGAACTTTTTATGGCATTTAAACAGGCCTTGCTTTATTTTTTTTTCTTTGTATATTTGGGAAAAATGCGTTCTAACACAATAGTAATATGGGAGGTTTAACATCCCAGAGCCATCATATTGCTACATATTGATTATGAGAGCCGTAGTGGAGGGCTGCGGAAATTTCGACCATCTGGGGCTCTTTAACGTGCACCCAAATCTAAGCACACGGGCCTACAACACTTCGGCCTCCACCGTAAATGCAGCCCCGCAGCCGAAAATTGATCTCGCGACCTGCGGGTCAGCTACGTTTTAACAAAAACAGTAGGCTTTGCATGGAAAGCACGTAACTTTGTACTTATCGAGTCCGTAACTGCTCAAATATAGCACGAAAGATGAAATGTCGTGGATGCATTGGTCATACCTTAAAGAAAAGATGCCGCCAGGCCAGATACTCGATTAAACTCTACATTTCAGGTACGAGCTTGTGGAGACCGTGCAGACCACGGGCATTACGTCAGAAATCATCATACGCCAAACAGACCGTCGCGACTCCGCCCTTTTCACGTGCCTGGCCACAAACAACTTCGGCCAGGACGACACGAACATCCAGTTGATAATACAAGGTAAGCGATACTTCGGTTATAATCTAATCACATTCTAACGCCACATTGAGCCCCGTGGCAAAAACTTATACATAGAAGTATCTTAACGGTATGGTCAAAACATTTCAATCTTTTTTTTTCAGCGGCATTGTATTCCGCTGGGATAAGTGTCACCCTGTGTTCAGTGTGAATGGAAGGAAAAACAAGCGATGCAGGAATATACATTATCTGCCATTTCGCACTTCATTTCAAAGGGTTGTAGTCTGGATGACAATAAAAAAAAAACATGGTTGATCTCTCCATCATAGGAATCCGCAAAATACGAAAGTAAAGCGTGTTCTTAAGGAAGTCGTTTAATGTTTATTGTACACAGATGTAATAGAGCTTGCACAGTGTGTATTGGCGTGCGTACATATTAAAGCTTAGTCATACATCATCATCCCGATGACTGACGTTCATCATTATTGATTAACGAAAGCACGAATTAATGGAAGCAAAAATGTGACAACCAGAAGATCGTGACTGATTGGGCGCAGAATTCGGGCTAAGGTCGCCTACTCGTGGCATGTTGCAGTTATTGAACACCGCAGCCCAACAAGAGCGAAAAGCAGCGCGCGTCGTATTTCGCTTTGACCGGCAGCGATTGTTCTTGGAGTGAGCGTAATTGTGGAACGTCAGGCTAGCCTGGTGAGGCAGGCGAGCGTCGCACAGCTATTTTCGATATGAATGGATAGTGTCACTGAGGTGGAAGTTTGGGTAATGGTCGCCATCTAACGATGTGTGTTAAGGCATATTTGAAATTGCTTTTCTTTTGGAAACGCACCGAATGAAGGATGCGTAGCAACAACACGTTGCAGAAGGTAATCGCGGAGGGTTCGGTTATGATGCATTACTTCGCTGCACCGTCCCCAGATGGCGACACCCATCCACCAACCAAGCGCTCTGCCTGACGGACATTAGAGATCGCAAAGGCGCGTTTGTGATGGCGGCGGAGAGAACAGCGAACCTGGAATTTGTTGTCATCAATCTAGAAGTTCTGGTTTGAGCTACCGTTCACAATTTTTTTTCTTTTCCACTTGATTGTCTGCATACTAGTCGGCGTCATTTCCGTGACGGAACTACGTCACTGAATGCTTTCTAGACCCCGACGTCAAGCACTTTTTCATTACAATATAAACAGAAACAAGGAAGTCCAGCAAGCTGCGCTCTTCCCTCGGAATTTGCACTAATACTGTGAAGCTGTGACAAATTGATTGTGGTTACTCTTATAAGCTTTCTACTTCAGCACTATATTTTTTGTTACTGAATGATGTCTCCAGTTTTTCATTATTAGTTTTGTCCACAGTGGCACGCGTCTATTCTCTGACTCAACTGTTACTGTCTCGGCAACTTCGGAATGACAAAACATAGTATTTTGGTTATATCTTCATCGCACGAATGATGTTAATATCGAAGCTTGAGTTGATAACAAAGCATACACACAGGCTGTGCTTATCAGCTAAAGTCGAACACGTAGACCGTAACAAGATATTGCTTACAAGTATAATCACTGGAGTAATAATAAAGATAAAATAGCCGTAAAAGGCCAGTGAAAAAGCTACTCAATCTGATCGTCTCAATTTCCCGCACACTTATGAGTGATAAAAAAGATTGATAAGGTGCTGATGCAGTCCCGTTTTAATCTCGGCTTTCGGGAAAGTCAAGTTCGTAACGAGGTTACCAAGACCACGTCGCTTCTATCGTTATCGTATACAATAATGACGCCCGCAAATGAAGAAAAAAAGTGATCGAGCAGCGTGATAAACTCAATAAACAGTAGTTTTTGCTGCCGCGACTAGAATGAAAATCTATCTTTCCCAGCAGTGTCATTTTTTTGCTTTACGGAGTGAGTCATCAATCACTGCTGAAGTTGATCGGTTGCGCAGTGTTCATAGAATATGCGGGCTGAACTTCAGGTTCGTTTTCTCTTGGTACTGCTTATAAATTCAGCGAAGCAGATGCAGCGCACGCCTTTTTGGTTTTTTTTATAATGAATTGAAAACGACGTCTGCAGCGGGAAAATGCAGCATAGAAGGTATTCAAATAAGTTTCTCTCCTTTCTGGGTCCCAAGTCTTCACTACGGCCGTGATTTCAAGTGCAACATTTTCTGTCGTCAGGAAAGTGTGTGTTTAAAAAACAAGGAAGAACACAAAAAAAAACACTCGACAGAAGTTGTAGAAACATGCAGCACCTAATTGTCTTTCAAGTGCTTACCCCTCACAGCTTAGCTTTGTGTAAATTTCTAAAAACGTGTTCTCAACTACATCCAAGTTCCACATCATCACCACAACCGACAATTTCCACTTTGCACGTGGCTGCTGGGGCACATGCAAATTTCAGGAAGATTTCGCTCATTCTTCAGCAGTTAACCGTGCGATAGCTGAAATCGTAATTATTCCTATTAACGCTTTCCCATGATCGAATAAGGTGTCTGGCATTCTATCCTTATACAGTGCCAATGCAGGTATAGCACATGTTTGGATAAACCATATTCAGAGCGCATTATAATGATCACCGATACTTCAAGGTGGTTTGAGTAACGCATTCACTTTGAATTTGGATGAAGGAAGGAAGGAACAAACAGAACGGGACCAGGCCGGGAGGTCAAACAGAAAGGATTCCGTTTAGATAGCGTACACTAGGAGATTAGGGCTAGGGAATAGAAAGGTGAGGAACAGAGAGGAGGGAAGAGAAGAGAAAAAAAAGAGATAGAGAGATTAAATTCACTGCAGCGGGAAAGAACAAGCTATTTAATGAGGTGACAGCGTGCACATTGTTGCATCTTTAAATGTGAAATAAATCAGAAAGATGCTCACAGCTCTGTAAATATGGGAAGACGAGAACCTAGTTGAACCTATGGCAATGTGCAACGCATTCATGGGTTAATAGCTATATTTTCGACCCTACATGAAGTTTTCCAAGTGCGACAGCAGCGCAAGCACCAAAAGCTTAGAGAGGAGAAGCAGCCAAATGAAACCGGACAAGTAGATGTAGATTCTAAACTTGTCCGGACAAATAGAAGCGAACACGAATCACGCATGTGAGACTTACACTTTCGTCTTTTTTTTTTAAGAGCAGGTGAACGCGTGGCTTGCACTCTGCGGCGGTTTATGCGGTGGTTGCCTACGGCACCATCAGCCGACAGACAGAGAAGGCACGCTCCCTTTTCGCATCATCCATTGGAAGTTTCAGCGTCAACTACAGATATATGTGCAGCAGTCGAGGCAGTTTGGATCATAACACAATAAAGAGTACTAATAACCCAGCGGAATTTAACATCACACCAGTAGCGACAAGAAAAGCAAGGAAAGCCCTACAGATAACCACTCACTTTCGGCGAGTTGATCGAAGCAGAGGAAACAAAAAGCGATTTCCGTGGCTCGAGTCGTAATCGAACCCAGGTATTTTGCTTGGAAGTCAAGCGTTCTGCCACAGAGCCACGCCAGTGCTTCCAGCTGTCTCGTAAAAGAAGACCCTATACAAGCGCCATGTCAGAACAATTCCGGTCGGGGTGGAAGTGTCGGCTATCCGCTTTCATTTATTTGTAATACACATGACTTATCTATTACTCCTCAAGCTATAGTCAAGGTAGATGAAATACACTTATCGCTATTGCGTATAATATCGCATTTTCGCACTTTAACATGCTGTTCGTGGAGACAAAACGTGAGTATGGATGTCACGTTGGCTTAGGAGTTACCCTTCACATGCAGTTTCTCAGTGTGCCTGGTAATTGCCTGGCCCCAACACTAAAAGTTCGAACCATTTCATAAAGCTTGACTAAAAAAAAAGAAAAAAAACAAATCCTGCGTAGGTTATCGCTGCCTGGCTGCTTCGCGTAAAATCGATTTCCACAACGCTTGCGATCTGCCGGATTGCTTTTCGCTCACGCAAATGCCTTGATGACAAAGTGAACAAAGCAGACGCGTAGCTCGCACATTCATGTGATTTTTTCAAAGCACACAAACACCACGAAATCGATTGTTTCAATGCGTATAAAGAACCGCAGCTGGTCGAAATCGATTCAAGTTCCATGGCCGATTGCAATGGCACATGCAATAGCTTTCTTGGGCCGCGTATTCCGTGAGCACTTACCAAAACTGAATGGAATATAAAATAGAGAAGGCACGTCTAGCTCGGCTTTGCCATGCTAGGTTAGCTGCGCGTGAAGGAAACGTTCCGTTAACTAACGCTAAACTAACTTAACTGTTCCGCTTCTATCTGGCGAGAAACATTCCATGATGATAAAGATTTTGCGTCAACAAATGAACCACGCTTATTGCTCACGCTATGCGAGATCTCGCTCAATAATGCTCACTGAATGTTTTCTTAGTTATTTACGGGATTGATATGAGCTTTATTTGTGATATTGACGCTTTTTTAACAGCGACGCGTTAAGCGAATGCACTTCGCACTCATCGACCGCTTTCTTTTTCTTTTCTTGGGACGCAGAACCTCCCGACGCGCCCCAGGACCTGAAAGTGGTGGAAGCTGGTAGCAGGAGCGTCAAGCTGGAGTGGACAGCTCCGTACAGCGGCAACAGCGCCATCACGCACTACACGGTTCAGTACAAGGACGACGGATGTAAGCCACGTCACAAATTACCCCCTTTTTACTAGGACGGTGCATGTTTCTTCGCATGAACGAAAAAAAAAAAACGTTAGCATCAAGCGCACCCATAGCCAACCTGCTAAGAAGCAGCTACCTTGTTTCCTCTTTTCCCATTAGTTGTTGAGCACGTTACACATCGGTATTTTTACCTATGAAAAGGTGAAATATATGTGTGCAAACGCGTTCGTACGTGCGGCGCACCGTTTATTAATTTATTTACAACTACCTCTCGGGCCTCCAAGAATACATTGGTAAGGGAGAGAGCACGGTTATATAGTGGGAAGCATGGTTACTTTTAGGCGGCAGAAAATACATTCGCACAATTAAAGGAGTGTATACAAACAAGATAAAACTGCAGGAAGATCTCGCTAAATAGTCACATGATGACGATGATGATATTATTGCACCACATGGTGGGCATATACGTGAGTGGTACTGTAAAATATTGAAAAGATGAGTTTGAAAGAAAATGTTTAATGAGCAAATAAAGTGATGCAGAAAAAAAGGTTATTCTAAAGATTACAATATTAGTGTTTTCAATGGGAGTGAGTGAGTAAAAACTTTATTGAACATGTCCGGCGTCATTGAGCGGGGTGGGGCTACAAGCACCCCGGCCTAGGTGACGGCCTCGAGTCCTTGGACCTGGGCGGCATCCTGGGCATGCCGGACGGCCCACAGTTGATCGGCAAGGTCGTGGCTGAGCAGAGCAGCCTCCCATCGCGCCTCGCGGTTCGAGACCACCATGTCTACCGGGCTCGTAGGGGACTGCTGCGCGTTACCGGTACATTTCCACAGCATGTGCTGCAGCGTCGCTCTGGCTCCGCACGCCTTACACGCGTCGGACGTATAAATGCCTGGGTAGCAGAGGTGAAGGATCACCGGATTCGGGTACGTGTGTTTCTCTAGTTGTCTCCAGGCAACCTGCTGTTTCTTGTTTAGTTTGGCGTGGGGTGGTGGATATTTGCATCTGTTCAGTCTGTAGTGTTGCGTGATGTCTCTGAAAGTGGTCATGCGATCTCCCCCCCCCCCCCCCGTCCATTCCCGCATCGCTGCCGAAGTGTGCGAGACATCGGGACTGTCGGCAGGCGTCGCAGCTCGGTGTGTAAGTCCTCGAGCCGCGGCGTGGGCAGTCGCGTTGCCCGCAAGCGGAGGGTCCGTGTGGGCGGGGGTCCATAGGAGGAAACTGTCGTTTTTGCGGCAGATGTTGCGTTCATGAATTTGGAGAATGCGGGCTGCTTCGCGGGAGATCCGGCCGCTGGCGTAGTTGCGTATCGCCACCTGCGAGTCGCCTATTATCACCTCAGCGTCCGTGGTGGCTATCGCGAGGGCTATGGCAGCTTCTTCGGCCGCCTCCGTCTCTTCCGTGCCTATCGTCGCACTCGTGACACAAGTTCCTACATGATCCGTGATCGCGACCGCGAAGCCGCGGTGGCAGTCGTAATGGGCCGCGTCCACGTAAACTATGTCTTTGCTATTGCCGAATTTCTTTCCAAGGTCTTGGGCGCGCCTGTTGCGCCGACCGATGTGATGTGTCGGGTGCATGTCCTTAGGCAACGGCAGAACGACGATGCGCTCGCGAATACGTCTGGGTATCCCGATCTTTTCACCGCGCTGCGTATGGTAGTTGATATCCAGTGTCTCGAGGATGTGTCGACCAGAACTGGTCTTCGCCAGACGTTCGTACTGGGCGATGTTGCGTGCTTCGATTATGTCATCTAGAGTATTGTGCAACCCCAGCTCGAGAAATTTTTCCGTGCTGGTATTGGCCGGTAATCCGATTGCGCGTTTGTACGCCTTGCGGGTGAGACAATCTAGTTTGGTGCGTTCAGTCGCCTGCCACTTGAGGTAGGAGGCGACGTACGTTATATGGTTCATAACGAAAGCATGTGCCAGGCAAATGGTATTGCTTTCCTTCATTCTGCTATGCCGATTTGTTATTCGTTTCAGCAACCGGATTGTTTCATTGACCGCGCCCTCTAGTCTGCGAACGGTTTTGCCGTTGTGGCCGTTGGCGGACAGGCGCAAGCCCAGTACCCTAATGGTGTTAACTTGTGGGATGACAGCGCCGTCTGATGTGCGTACATTAATTTCTCTATATGCGCACTCGAATGTGGAATCGGCGTTCTTGGGTTTACGGCCCCTGCGCGAGGGTCTATAGAGCAGGAGCTCCGATTTAGCGGCGGAACATTCGAGGCCAGTGTCGCGAAGGTAGTCCTGCACCACGTCGACGGCTTCCTGCAGCGTTTGCTCTACGTGGGCGTCATTTCCCTCGGCAACCCAGAGGGTGATATCATCGGCGTATAAGCTATGGTGGAGGCCTTCTATCTCAGCGAGCTTTCGTGGTAATCCGACAAGCACGAGGTTAAAGAGCATGGGCGCGATTACGGAGCCCTGCGGCGTGCCCGTACAACCCATGTATATGTCTTGCGATTCTAGTCCGCCGATCGCTAATCGAGCCCGGCGGCCCGTGAGAAAATCCTGTACGTAGTGGTACGTTCTCTCGCCCAGTCCCAACGCTCGTATACTTTCAAGTATCGCAGCATGGCTAACGTTGTCGAACACCTTTTTGAGGTCGAGCCCGAGTATCGCTTTGGTGGATCGTGTGGAATTGTCTACGATATCGTGCTTGAGTTGAAGCATAACGTCCTGCGTGGAAAGGTTACGACGGAACCCCAGCATCGTGTGTGGGAGCATGTTTCGGTCCTCGAGGTAGTGGGTAAGGCGAGCGAGAACCACATGTTCCATGACCTTACCAACGCAGGACGTCAGGGATATCGGTCGAAGGTTGTCAATCTGTACTCGTTTGCCCGGTTTTGAGATCATAATTATGCGCGCCGTTTTCCACGAGTTCGGTATAGCGCGCGCATTCCAGCACTCGTTCATGTAAGCCGACAGTTGTTCTATCGACTCATCGTCCAAGTTACGTAGCACTTTGTTGGTTATCCCGTCCGGGCCTGGCGCCGACTTTGTGTTGAGCCTGTGCAGCACCGCCCTCACTTCTGCAACGCTGAAGTCCTCGTCTAGCTCCGCGTTACCCTCACCCTTCCAGACTTATCCCGAGTGCGCGAGGGGGCTACGTGACTGAAAGTAACGGCTTCCCACGTCATCTAGAAATTCCGCGTAAGTGCCTTTGTAGTCGTGCAGCAACTTGTTAAGCTTATGTGCCTGCGATGTTTTCGTCTCCTCCGGATCCAAGAGGTGCCAGAGGAGATGCCACGTCTTGGTCCGTCCCAGCTGGTTCTCCATCCCATTGCAGATCTCTTCCCATTGCGTTTTGCATACCTGTAACGCGTGCTTTTCCATGTCCCTGCTTAGCCGTGCTATGCGTCTGCGCAGCGTTCGATTGTGGCGTTGACGCTTCCACCTGTCTTGCAGGCTGCACTTGGCTTCCCACATGCGTAGGAGTTTGCTGTCTACCACTTCGAGCTGCGCTTCTGGCGGAACCTCCCGCGTCGCCGTTTCTAAATCCCCCTTGAGCGTCGCAGTCTAGCTATCTATATCCTCAATAGCCGCACTGCCATGATTCTGCTCTTTCCGGACTTTGCGAAACGCGTCCCAATCCACCAGCCGGTAGTTTTGCCCTTGGTACCTTCCCGATGAACGCGGTGGTGAGGTTTAGCGTCGACCTGGATCTCGACCACTGAGTGATCGCTACCCAGGTCCTCCTGTGTTTTGTGCCATCGCGCGCTAGCAACGTTCTTGGTAAATGTGAGGTCAGGTGAGGTGTCTGCACATACGCTGTTGCCCCTGCGCGTAGGCGCGGAAGGGTCTGTGATGAGCTCAAGGCCCTCATTCTGCGCATCGTTTCAAAGGCGCTTACCTTTTGGCGTTTCGTAGCCGTACCCCCACGCCGCGTGGGGCGCGTTGAAGTCGCCCGCGATGAGCAAGGGCCCGTCGGCAGCTGCCTCGCGCGCCTCTCGCAGTAACGTGCTAAAGCGGTGTCTGGCTTTGGGTCTGCTATACACGTTCAGCACAAACAGGCCGGAGCCGCACCCTTTGGTCGGGATGAGCTCTATGAGTACATGCGGTATGCTAACGTTCATAAGTTCGCGTTGCGCCACGGTGAGGTTGCGTCGCACTAGCGTTGCAGCGGCCGGTGGGGCTCCCGCGGTCACAGCTTCGTCTATAGATTTGTACCCCGACAGCTTGACCGGGTCATTGGTTTCCTGCAATAGTATTACGTCCGGTCGTTGCCGGCTACGTAAGAATTGTTGGAGAAGCGCCCGTTTCCTCCTGTACCCCCTGCAGTTCCACTGCCAGATAGTGAACGTGTTCCGTGTGTTATGCTGTTGTGGGCGTTGTGTTTGTGTGGTTTCGTGTCGAGCCATGGTGACTGCAGGTGTTATGATTTGCCATCCGGCTGATTCTGCGCCTCTTCGTCGGCTAACGGCCTAAAGTACGGTTTTCCAGTCGTTCCTACTGGGCGACCCACTGCGACCGGAAGTCGCGTTTCGATATTGTCTATGCGCGTTTGCAGCGTCGCGACCATTTTTGTGAGCTGGGATATTGCAATGCTCAACTGTTCTGTTTGTGCGGTTTGCTGAGCAATCGCGTTGTTAAGTTGCGCGGTTTGCTGCGCGTGTTGGGTCATCATCGCGTCTACCTTGTCGTCGAGTCTATCGACTCGTTCGCGGCATTTCTCCTCGCGTTTCTGCGATTTGACGCCGAATTGTTCCGGGTCAAGTGCCCTACGTTTAGTGGGTGCGGGGTGCGCGCCTTGAGCCTCCATGACTTCCTCTGTTTGTGGGTGACACTGGCAGTTTGCTGAAGGAGCCTCCTTCGGCGCGGACCTCGGCCGCGAGATCAAAGTCCTCGTCCGAGTCCGCCCCTTCGGCAGCAGAAGTCGCGGCCAGGTTGTACTTTCTCACCGTGTTCGAGATCTTCAAGGCGGCCACGCGAGCGGCTCTTCGAGATGGCCGACTGTTGGGCTCATCGAGGATAACGTTGGATGCCGCCAAATGCTCCAACTCCCT